ATAGTTTCCTAGAAATAGTTGATATCTTTTGTTACAAATCGTTTATAAGTAACGGCTTGCAAAAGTTCAGCAAGAACTTCAAAGAGAGGTAGATACAACTATCTGCGGTAACGATCAATGGGATCTCCAGACCGCATTCAGATCAAAGTTTACGAATGCTAATCTAAGCGCAGTGCCAGGAGTTATCGCAAAATTGTCTTTCACGGCCGCAATGGAAACTTTCATTCGGTCCCTATTTGCGTTGGCTGGCAGCCTTTTGACGATTGCTAGTCTGACAACATTTTCGGGCTCAAATTTTACATTCCCGTTTATTGTTACGTCGTCGTAATCAAGTAGTTAATGTTCATTGTACCAGTACTTCCTGGATGTGTTGCAACGCCTAGTGGTCATTAGTCGAGTTGCAAAACAATCGAGATTTAGACAATTTTAACGATGAGCAAAGATTTTGCAAATAATTCTTTCTTAAAAGTCATATGTTCCTTATTAATATATTCGTGACACCTTTGGCGCATAGGCGGTATCCAAATTGACGTCGTAAGTAGGCTGGGGGAACGACTGTCCGTCAGAGATATGGATCGAATTGCTGGTGTTTGTTGGAGTATTAGATGTACGATAACATCACCACGACTAAGGTCAATGTTGGACTAGAAGATCGATCTATAATCATGACAGATTTCCCGCGTATCAAATTGTACGTTCAAGGTTGAAGGAATATTTTAGAAGCTCAAATGTTGCAGATATAATGTTTTTTGTAGAAAACATTACATTAAATTATTTTAAACTGTTTAAACAAATTCTAACTTATTTTTGGAATTATTATGGATTTTAATAAATTCACTGGACTAAATACATTATTATAAGGGTATAGTTGAATCTGTATAACATGACTGAAATTAATTCTAGATAGCGATTATTTAGAATAATATGTGAATAACAGTATAAAGACATGAATAACGAAAGTGATTTGGAAACAATAACAAGTATTCATAGCGATTCTATTTTGAGATGTGTTTGATGAAATCAAGCAAGACAATTTATCTTTACTGTGTTCATTTCAACATAGCTTACGCGTGGTTTTGAGGTTATTGGTATTTAAACAGCGACTGAAATAAATCGTTAAACTGTATGTTAGACTAGGTATCAATAATAAAAATCGTTTAATTCTGGTTTTAACAATATACTGAAACATTTTTCATTAATTACTCTGTCCACTATTTGCCAGTTTGTCCTGATCTGAAGGCCTGTGCCCCTGCAGTGAGTACATTAATAGGCAAAGGATGATGATCACTCTGCCTTCTGGTGAAAACCGCATGAATATCCATTCAGTAATTTTGGAGTTTATCATATTCCAGGATACCAAGTATTCATATACAAGAACATAAGAACTGAATAAATGAATGAATGAAAAATTCTTTATTGTACACCAATGGACAGAAACAAATATAAGGATACAATAAATGTGAATGCAGAATTGGCGGCCTTATTACTAAAAAGTAATTTCTTCCAGGCAACCTTGTGAACTGAACGAAAATTATATCTACTTTAGATTAGATTTAGGGTAGCTTATGGTGTCTCAAACTTTATCATGATATCATATCTCTACCTATATTTAATGAATAAATGAAGTACATAAATACTGGAGTAAATTTTTTATATAATTATCAATTATTACCTTTACCCTTCGATATATCATCTAGAAGTTCATAACACCGTCGTCGTCTATTAAGATACCAGATAATAATAAATAATTTAAGTCTATGATAATTTATCACTAAGGAACATTATCCTTATCGATAAATTATCATTAAGTAGCTTAAGAGGATTGCTATTAGAGTCAATTTTTTTCCTTTTATAAGAATTATTGCTTCTCTCTTCCCAAAGCTATTATTTGGTAGGATATCAGAGAGGTCATTCAATTTCAAATTGTTCAAATTTAATACCCTAATATTTGATTTTCTTGTCTCAAAAGAAACAATTGGTAAATCGAATCGGAGATTCTCGGTACAAGTTTATATAAGAAAACAAGTCTAAAAGTTCTTCAACTTGAAACATATGTACTCGATGCTAGAAATTTTTACTGCGCCATACTAGAATTTATTATTTATCCATGATTATAATTTTAATTAGAAATTTTATTGTTCTTTCGGTGAGTTGCACAAACGTCCATTAAGGTTTAATGACGTTTTTAAGCTCTAATGAATGTCAATTTTGTATGGGTAATGTTTCTTTAAACTAATGACAATTTTAATGGACGTTTGTGCAACTAGCTGTTTGTCGCATAACAAGTTATTGCTAATTGTATTAAAATTATACCATTGTAAATATTGAATTTATCAATGTCTATTTACCTCATCATACAAAATTGATAATTCTATCAATATTGCAGATCAAATACCTAATAGAAGACCTATTGGAGGCGTTGAGCTAATAATTTGTTCAAGAAATTTACATTACCGATGATGGAAATATCATTTATAATGGTAATAATTCTATTGTTGAGGCACTTCGACAGCCAAAGAATTCAAAAGTCTTGTGTCCCGGGAGTTTCTATTGTTCCCATTAGAGACATCGTTCGTTTGTACTTCGTGATATGATGAATTATAACGACATAACGGAATCAAAGTTGCGCCGGCAAAATTACAAATGAACGTAGCTTTGTTAGCGAAGCCAATGATTTTTATTACTGAACATTAATAATCGTATCATGATCACGTGATAGAAATAATAAATTATAGATTTTATGATTGTTGTAATAATGTCAAAGTAATATTACTAACACTATAGTAACCACTGAAGCACTGATAATTTTCACACGAAAATAAAATCTGAAAGCAGAAATAAGAAAAAAAAACAAATCTGTAAATAACAAAAAATTACGTAGACGTAGTTATCGACTTGAACTTATTGGTAAATTAGATTGTTCTGATTCGAGAGTACTTGTGTTATATTATTTAACAGGAATAACGTGGGTACTACAATAAACCGGCTTATGATAAACAATATTAAAAAATGATTTTTGTCTTGAATTCATTTAATATGGAGATATGACGTCAGATAGGTTAGTGGAGATAATCTATTCCATACTTATAATATTTTGACAGAATTTTTTGATCCTTTTTACGGCGAATAAGAACAATACGGTATGAATGTTTCTTGTAATCGAAGGACTCGAGAGTAACATAAGATCTTAAACATTGCTATTAATAGTTTCCTTCGGGATTAAAATTCCGTAATCTAAATGGTACCAGATTTTGGCTGAAGATAGTTGTCAAATGATATTATAATATTATTTTCAATTACTGGGCTATCATTGGATAAGCAATAGCGGTCGAAAAGGGTACAAGGGTAACCTCTAGTGAATAAACATTTGAAATGTTCAATGACATACGAACGACGTGAGTCTACAAGTAAAGTGGAATGAGTAATGTTTGAATGTTTGAATTAACTAACTAACGCGTAGGCTTTTATAATTTCATAAATACCCTTAGCTGTTATTAACACACAAAAAAAAACCTCTGAAATCGGGATTGCTATATATTTGATCTTTTAGGTTTTACTGGCAGTAAAGAGTCGTTTATTTTCGTCTACATATTTCTGCGAAACCAATAACTTGATTATAATCATTACGAAAGATAAATCTACTGAAAACAATAGCAGCAAAACAAATAAAGTAAATAGTGGAAAATTAATTACAAATTGAAGTTCAAATAGAAAACTAACAGTACACATTAAATATTTAAAAGCCCATTTGTTATTAATTACAGGACAGAAATAATGGGGTCGTACGTGACAATTCATAACAAACAAGGTTTAGTCAATCGGAGACAGTGTAAATATAACATTATACCTAAATAGAATTTTCAATCATAATACATATCGCTCTACGGTATACAGAATGGACGAGGTAGTGACATGTGATGGTACCCCTTGAGTTCATCCAATAATTTCTTGACGGGACCTGTAATTCTATTTTACGGATCACTGGTCCTTTGTGACTGACACAGATTATTATTTGAGGATGTGACGACTCATACTTTTCTAGTAGTATATTTAGTTAGATCAATTAACCTTTAAGGACTACATATAACTTAGATCTAGCAAAATAACTGATAATGATGCAATATTGCTGCATATCTCTTGTAAATATGTTTTTTTTATAACTGTTTAATTAAGATATTATTGGTGCATTTTAATGTTCAATTGACATTCATTAAGGTACTTTTAATTAAATTGGCATTGAGTAAACACTTTGAGCTAGACAATAAATCGATTGAGAAATTATGAAAAAAACGTGGTTAGCTTTATACTTTATACTTTAACTTAATTGGTCAGAAATAATAATCTTCAAGTCTATGTTAGGGTATAGGGTAATAGGTTAAAATTATAATTTAATTAATTGAGATGACAATAATAACTAATTAGACAAATAGTGATCTGTTAATAATCTGATTTAGGATTTAGGTGATGTCTAATATATATAACAGAGCATAAGACGTATAAGAGTTCTTAATTACAAGGCAAATTAGTAGTAAAAGGGCTTATTAAAATCAATTTATTACCGAAGAACTATTAAATCAATAAAGTTTGCCCTTCAGACTACATCAGGATGACTGACGGCAATAAAAATGAGAAAGAAAGGGCATTTATAAGTGAGGTCAGTATTCTCAAACGTAGTCAATTAAAGTTTAAATAGCATTGTCCTATTATCGATTCAGTTCAAGACCAGTAAGAAAACTAGGTTACAGGGCAATGCATTTTGTCTTCTCGGAATCTGTATGCTGCCTTGCGCTTGACATTATAGATCTCGTTAACTTACAGAAAACTCACAACAGATATATAATGTTAAGTCATTTAGAGTTCTGTTTATTCTATACATTTCCAGATACTGGAAAATTACATTAGTTCTCATATCTGCTTCAAAATAAGCTATTATCAAGAACATAACAGTTACTTCGGACCACTTCAAACTTAAATAAAAAAGTTTAAATTTTATTACATACCATCTGTGGGAGATGTGTAAAGCTTCTTGCAGAGCTCTTGTGGCCCGCCGAGTGCGTTGATCTTGGCCAAACCCTCGGCGCCCCGCGACTCCATCAGCTCGCGGAGCTGCCGTAGGGAGACGCCATATTGCGCCGGCCGCCCCTCCACGGTAGCCATGGTGCCGGGCCTGCGGCCTCCGCCCGCACCACGCCCGACAACCCTCTAGATCTGAAACAAACGCGAAGATATTACAATCAATGTCTATTTGGCATATCAAACACAGGATATACACTTGTGGTAAACTCGAAGTAAAGTCTCCGCTGTTTTTGCCAGTACTATTGATATATCAGTACCTGAATCCTTACTTCAAATAAGATAGGCTTTAGAATACTAGTAAGTATGTATTAGATACCAGTGAAGTACACAACTAGACTTTTTCTATAATAATAATGCATTTATTTTGCTTGTATTAAAAAACGATGATACCGTTGTATTGTTTACTTAGTTTATAAGCACAATTTTTTTTAAATTATATTAGCAATTTGTTTGGAGCTTAGATAGTATCAACTTTCTCAGAAGTGCTGTATTATAAGGTAAACTGAAACCCACTGTTTTTCACCCCAATTAATAATATAAATATTATAAAATACTGATTTCAGTGATTGCAATGCATAGTCACATAAATATGCATTGCAAAAAACAGGGGAGAGCAATTTTTTCATTAATTGGATGTGCAATGATTGAGGTTTTATTGAAATTGTTTCCACTTGAGTTATTGATCTTTTTATGTAACGATATATTCTCAATAATTTTGTTATATTAAAGAGATTCCATTGATCACGTTAAAATCTATGTACATATATAGGTATCCTTAAAAAAAACCGATATCATCTCGTAAATGAATATTGTTGTATTGAATTATACAGTATTCACAATGAAAGCTGACAGTTAGATCCCAGTATAAACATGCGAAAAGGTTTCACGCGAGCGAATGATGAATGGAGATGCTCGTGCCAGGCTCGTCCCCTTTAGTGAGCGCGAATGAATGATGATCTGTCCCTCACAACTCTTGCTTTTTCACTTGTAAATTTAAACGGTGATATTGTTATAACTGCGGCGAAAGTTTTTAATGGGATTATCATTTAATTGAGTTTAAACTTTCATAATGTACGTATGATGATTTGATTTGGTACGCCTGTCAACCTATAAAGAGTCTATGTACGCAACCAATGAATTAGAGGTGCGTTTTCAGAAGCCGAACTTTAACATGTCAAGTCTACAATACAAAAAAACTGATTTAGTTAACAAATCATCTCTGAGAGTGAAAGTTGAATTATGTAGCATTCTAGATATCAAAGTTAATAATAATTGTCACCTATAAAGATAAAGTCTATACAATTAAATATACTTATTGCAAAACCTTTTTAAGTACATGTCAGTAAAGTTACCTTTTTATTGCGCCATAAAATTCTCTATCAAATGCACTTCGCATTTAATCGTCAATTAAAGACGAGTTACGCTAATACAAAACGATATTTCTTCGACACAATATCTCCTGCAAAACCAGAGTAGGGTGTTGAATTCCACGTTGAAATAGACGATGATAGTTCGAATGTTTTAGTGATTTTTCAGAAAGAGTAGTGCTTTGCGTATGAAAAATAAATACAAAACATTTTGGTGGTAGGTAGTTTCATTCCAAATCGTTCAAAAAGATGAAAAAGTAGTTTCCCTTAAAGTTTTAGTATTTAAGAACATGATTTGAGTACATCATAAATATAATGAAAGATCAAGAGCTCATAATAATTGAGTTTCTTTGATAATGCCAGACGATGTATTTTCTATTGTTGTTTATCGCACTCTATGTCAAGTCCTTGCTGATTATATTTGTATTAGAATGACGACAAACGATTTCAAGGAATTCAACCATTGCATGATTCAATCAGTTTAAATCTGTTGTTTTGTTATAGCATTGAATTTATACTATATTAGAATACTCAGTTGATTTAAATAGTATAATCAAAGCGTCCCATTGTATGCTTATGGTTTTAGTCCTTTTATTATTGTAAGATTTTAAAATGTTGTAAAATATTGCTTAAGTTAAAATACAAGCCATTTATTATTTGCGGTAACTGAATACGGTTTAGAAGATTAAGGTGGTTTCCGTCTTGGTTAAATCGGCATAGCATTTTGCCAACTTGAATATTGTTCTTAATCTAGTTGGATTTATAGTTAGTTTGCTCACTTACTACTTGTTATGTTTCTGGATAAATATGTTTTGTATGTTGAACTTTAGGTTGGGGACCAAAACTTTCAGTCTACTATGAGATTAGGACCAAAATTATCAGTTACATTAATAATGAGTCTGAAGTGTTAAACGAACTCTACTCAATGGATATTTGAATTGCATGGCAAGAGTACACCTGCAAAAGCTTTAAATAATTTTATAACCCAATAAAATAATCTGACGCCTCATTTCGATGCTATGCATAATTTAAAGAGCCTTAGGGGTGTAAAAGAGGTCCTCATGAGCTTGTTCATATGAATTGATGAATGTTTTTGAGAGTTGTTCAGGTTTTTTTTGTAAACATAACGAAAATGCATTACAGACCACCGGGGCATTCTCCAGCTGTGTGTAGACACATAGCAACTCTTGAATTTTCTCTCACTCTTTATTGAAAAAATATTTCAGTATTTTATCTATCTTGAAAAAATATTGAAAACTAGACTCGATTTTACTTAGTGATATCTATTTATTGTAGTACCCAGCGCATGTAGCGTAGTCAACTTTACCCAAGTAAAAAACTTCAAAAACAATATTTGGCAATGGCTTCATCGGATCGAGAATTCGTCCAGTCCTTATATGTATTTTGATTATGCAAAAGCGTTGAGAATAAGACGGTCACGGCTCGTTGCTATTCAAATATAAATATCACAAACTATCGATATGCTTGGAGGCTATACGGATTCAATTCCTGAGCGTATTACGAGCTCATCGAAGTAATTTACATTCAGACCATAAATATTTACTACACTATTTAAGATTTTCAATCCGACGACCGCCGCGCTGAATCTAATAGGTACGTTTGCGGATGTTGTTATAAAAAGATAACCATAGGTTGGTGTTGCACTTACATCAGCTTCAAGCTTACAAGTACAAAGAGTTGCCAAAAGGGTTAAGCACCTCATAAACCGCACTGAATATACAGCGGGTGGGAGTCAATAAGGGGGGGGTCGTCTTTACATTTAACGCGGAAATTATGTGTATTTATGCATACTCTGATGGAACTTGGCGTGTTTCTCGAGCAATTATATTATTGGCTGTCAGAAGCAATACGTTGACCTTTAGCGCAATAGCGGTTTAGATGCGTAATGAATACTGACGTAATGCGGTGGATCGAACGACCGCTAATCAAGGGTGGGGTGTTTTATTCCCAAGTTTCAAAGATTAATAAGTTGTAATCTCTAAAGGCAAGTCGTGAAGTTATTATAACTTTCCACTTTTGGATGACAATAGATCTTGGATAAAGAAAGTAGGGTAAACAGGTATTAAAACGAGCGACCTGTTTCAAAATTGGAATTTACGCAAACAAAGAAACAGATTAACGTTGTCGAATCGCTTGCTCAGTGAACTTAACATCAATAAAATAAACTCTCGAATACGTATCTTAACCCTTTCCAGAGTGGGAGCGGATTGTCCCCCGAGGGCTGCAGCATCCGGGTTGAGTGCCGTTGAACGGCCGACAATTAGGTCGGCCGAGTGGCCATCTTTGTTCGTATCTGCCCGCCTTGCAGTTGCCAGAGAATAATTTTCTAAATTCTTACAACAGATAAAAAAAAATAACTCCAAGAATAATCTCTTAAATCCCATCTAAAGTTCAAATCCTATCAAAATACAATATCTAATGTGATTATGTAAAACATTCGAAGGTTCCTAATACGTAAAGAGTTTGTATCTTTGGTTAAATGGTGAATAAAAAAAATCAAACTATGATTTTAGTTTGATTTTTTTATTGCCACTATGAAATCATCAATTCTTTAATTTAGACCCTCATCAGTTTCCTGTACCAATGTTATGCAAACAAATTTTATTAGTGCATAATAGTGATTCACTATATACTATCGTAACCAAGTGAAAAAATTGCTCGTCTAACATTCGAAATGTTGATTTATGACATTGAAACTGTTCTGAATTCAAGATTGCATATATTTTACAGATGCCGATGCACTTCGACTATTTCGTTTCTTATGAAACTCTAGCAAAGTGGGTCAATCATCGCGATTCGGTGCAAACTTGGCACAACCGAGCAAACAATCTTGATTGAAAGTGCCCCTAATACTACTGTGAGTAGAATTAATCGATGTGTGCCGAACTGCCTGCCTCGTGGTTAGATTGATTAATGACTCTTGTACCCTGATATATTAAAGCTGAATTTTGCGTACGTAATTACAACGATGATCTTTCGGGTAACAAAGGTGTTATTGATGGCATGCCGGGAATAAAGGGAACCGGAATACACATAGTTTAACTTCTATACGAGACTAGTAATTACAAATATTTGTGCACGTAATATAATTATTACACGTATTATAAGCTTTTATGCCAGAATATTTTAAGAAGATGATGTATAGAAAAAAGGATTATAAGCTTATAATAGCTTTTATGCCAGAATGGTTTAAGAAGATGATGTATAGAAAAAAGGAGTATAAGCTTATAATAGCTTTTATGCCAGAATGTTTTAAGAAGATGATGTATAGAAAAAAGGAGTATAAGCTTATAATTGCTTTTATGCCAGAATGTTTTAAGAAGATGATGTATAGAAAAAAGGAGTATAAGCGTAGTGGCGATGTTGACTAACAAAATATTTATTTAAATATTAAATTTTACTTCATTTTAGTAGTATTCACATAATTATTATTTATATTGTTTTACCAAGTAAATGTTAACGAACCTCGTTTGAATTTACTATTCCATGATTAAAAAGATGAAACAAATATCAATTTCTAATATTAAATACTGAAGGTGTACAATACATTTGTGATTTACGGTCGGTTCGCGTGCAGAGCACTCTGGCCGCACCTGGTGTAACGGCCGACTTATTGGCCATTTTGCAAGGCTATACACAATTAAAGGCATTTCAGTAACTTTTACCTCTCGCCTATTTTAGTGTTATACTGTGTATGTCTAAATCAAAACTAAATTAGCTTTTAAAAAATCGACAGCATCAATT